TTAAACGGGCATTTAAAACGACTTTTCAATACTAAATTCCATTCAAAAAGAAAATGAAGATGTATGCATGTTGTTTTTTTCTTTCAATATGTGATCTAGTTAAAAATACCTATTTTATTTTATTTTATAACAGTCGTTGAACAATCGGACCAATTTCTAGGTTTAAGACTACTAATGTTCAACTCCGTAGGTTTGTAATTTTGAACCCAATACAGAAGAGAAGAAAAAAGTCTTAGATCAGTACGCACCAGAGGTATGATTTCTTGTGAGAAAGTGGAGGACTTTGAGACTCAACAAGTTTAACGTGCGTCTGTCACCATTTACTGCCCGGGGAGTCTTCGGCCGGCAGATATCGAAGCCACGATCTCTCGAACATGGGCCCAGCGCCTTACCAACCAGGCTTTCCCGGCCTAACGAGACCTATGTGAGAAATTAAGAAATAATAGTTTGAAAGTTACTCTGAATAAGTTGACCATCGCTTAGCATTCATAGCTGCACTAACAGGTCTGGCCTTTTCAGTAACAGACGTCTCATCTGTTACTGAAAAGGCCAGAGTCTTACTTCTGTGCCTTTCTGAATGAATTGATAAGAATCAGCTTTCAAAGTGCAATTTGATTCACAAGCCACCCCTTTATTGAAAAGAGAGTTCATTTCAATCATCATTATCAAGTGTAAATGATGCTGATAGTCTAAGAGTGCATCGTAAACTTCGCTTTTACCAACATCTAATGGAGTTTTATGCTTATTGCCAAAGTAATCATTAAGCTCATTCAAATCTTTTTCATGGATAGAGAGGGGAAGGGCCGGGTTTTTATGGTTTTCTGTTTGATGTTTAGTAGAAAAATAATGATTCAGTTCCGCCAACAGTTTCTTGTGCCTGGAGAGCGGAAGTATTGAGTGTTTGTCACTGTTTTTAACTGCAGTGCTTTCTGATAGAGTCTGATTCTTTTTTCTGAGATCCAGTATTTCATCATCTTTCTCTTCCCCAACAACTGAGTCCTCTGTCTGGTTCTGTTTATCAATAACAGTATCATCTGATGGCTTTTTGTGCTTGTTAGAAAAAAAATCACTTAGCTCTACCATCACTTTCTTGTTTAAGGAGAGTTGTATAGACAAATGTTCATTAAATTTTCATCCACTTCTTCCTTTGGCATAGTTTGATTCTGCGTATTGAAATATAGTAAAAGTTCTTCTAGCATTTTTTCGTGTGAGAAGAGCTGTTGAAGCAAAATTTCGTAACTTTGCTCATCTGCAATACCTTTATTTTCCTGTATGTTTTCATAGTTATAAGCAAAATACGTTTTTAATTCTTCCACTACTTTTTGTATAGGAAGTGCACCGAGTTTTAAACTTCACAGGAGTCTTTGTTTTCAACAAAATAATTTGATTGCTCTGATATTTTCAATAATTCCTCATCTTTTTTATCCGTTTCATCACTTATGAAAGACGTGACAGAAATTTCACCGGGCTGAAAATGAGTAAAATCACAAACAATTTCTTCTGATTTTTTGTTTCTCACTTCCTTTGCTTTCAATTCTACAGAAAGCTGTTCATTTTTGAAAATTAATTGATCTTTCGCGGTTTCTTCTTTATTTTGCATTATCTTCATGTGACTATGATAACATTCAGGATCATGATATTGTTCAACAATTACTCTTTCCATTGACTTTTCGGCTCTATCAATTAATTGGGAATAGATTATCGTCCTCGCCTCCAAGTAATTTGAATATTCTTCACATTGTCTCAACTTCAACTCTTCGAATTGTTCATTCAACTTTTCTATGACCGAATCCAACTCTTGATTTGCATGCAAAAAATAATTATTTATGAATAAATGAAGGTTTTTAGGGAATGCAACTCTCCTAAACAAAGTTTTACAATGCTCTTTTCGAAAAACAAAAAATGCAGTCGGGCCTCTATTTAACGAACTCGCTAAATAAGTTCGTTATATGGAAAATTCGTTAAATAGAAAATTACTTTCTGAAATACTTAAGCAACACAAAACTTGTTTTAAATTCATAAGCACTAGACATAACTAAAATAACAATTGATGCACCTTTATTTTGATTCATTTTATAAATCTTCAAAATGAAAGAAATCTGCATGGAAAATAGGAATAAAGCAAAACATTATCCAGTGTTACACTATCACGCCACATACATTTTTGAGTAAAAAAAAGCTACATTTATGTGTAAAATTATGTAGCTGCATTTAACATAAACGTAATTTTAAACATGAATTACTATATGCGTTCTTAAATTTAATTGCCACTAATAAAATCCGTTAATTTTGTCAAAGTTTTTCGCTTGAAATGCAGGCGAAAATGAAAAGGGATTTTACTGCTTTCTTTAATAGTTAAGTGGCTTCAAAAATCAATTCAAGGTCATTCCCCCCATAAAATGCGTTAACAAGTATGAAATGTTCTGAAATATTTCCGAAAATAGGGAAAGTGAATCTCTAAGAAAAGTTCATTAAATTCACCTCGCTATTTGAAAGTTATTTTACGAAGAAATTTCCACAATGTTCTTGGTTCTTCGACAAAAATCTCAAAATAGAGAAATTCGCAAAATTAAAGTTCGTTAAATAGAAGTCGGACTGTCTTTCTATGAAGATAGGCCGAATAAGACTCAGTTTTGCTTTTAACCGTACTAAAGAAAATCCCTATCTTGGATTTTTAATTTCGTTGATTAAATTTTTAGTTTCTGCTTTCGCAACATTTTGTATTGTACAAAGCAGACTATTGGTGATTTAGAAGTAAAATGCTTGACAAGAAGTCAGAGAAAAAGAGGTCGTTTCATTTGATTAAAAATGAAAACGCTCGATAATTTTGATTTTTTTTTCTTCCTCGAAATCTTTAAGTGACAAAAATAAGCAATATGTGATTCTGAGTAAGTTATTGAAAACAACACATTTGCTAGTTTTTTGGTTTTTTGAAATGTAATTTTTTTTTAGTTTAAATTGTTAAAAACTGAGTTGGACGATGTTTATAAAATATTTTATTGCTGAGTGCATAAAAACAAAGATGCTTATCAAAATTTTAAAAGCAGAAAACTTTATACTATTTAGCTGCATTTCAAAAACTGGTTCAAAGGAACCGATACGTGTTCTTAAGAATACCGTCGAGGAACCGATACGTGTTCTGAAGTTCGCCATCGAGTAAAATAGACAAAACAATTTTCATTCCTTTAGATTTTCTTTTTGAAAAAATATTACTGATTTAAATAAAAAAAACATATTTATAATAACACTTTATCACCTCAACATGAAATTTAGTTTAACTTCAGCTTATTTAACATTTATGTTAAATAAAATCTTTGTTAAGCTCACATATTATCGATTTTAATAGAATGGCTTCTTTTATCCAGAGCTGCCAACAAGGATAGGAAAAAAAATCCAGTAGATTTTACGAAATATAAATTCCATGATATTTGTTGCGTAATGTACTAAATATTTTACACATAGGGAGTTTTAGGGATTTTTATAGTCATCAAAATAGAAAGACTGCAATAATTTCCAGTTATGAAAGCACATTAAACATACTTGAAATGTATACTTACTTATAATTTCGAATATTAATAGACATTTATTTCATTAAAAATAATTCAAAGATTTTAGATTTTTTTATTTAATTTGAAAAGAGAGCTCTGAACAAAAATAAAATGAACACTTTAGAACAAAAAAAAGCTTTAAAGTGATTTCTATAAATGTGGTTCACTTCATTACGTATTTTTAAACCTTATTTAAATAATCAAGCAAGCAATAATCTGTACAAAAATTCTATTTCAATTGCGATTTTTTAGGAAACATATTCAATTTTAGGGAATATTCTAAAATGTGCAAAAACAAGGAGAATTATAATTAAACTAGTAGACCAGGAAAAAATTAGAAAAATCCAGTAGTCTATTGGACAATCCAGTAGAGTTGGCAGCTATGCTGTAGCAAGTATTGCATTTTCTATAGTCATACTATTATCAGAAAAGCTCTACACAACATAAAGAAGAAATTTCATTTTTTTCCTATGCAACAAACAGTTATGCAACTTCCATTTCTTAAGTCATTTGATTTAACAATTCCGAGATAAAAAAAACTAAATTAATATGAAAAATTTAGATTAAATTAAAAATAGATATTTTAGCATCTTTTAAAAAATTAGGAAATTAAAAGAATTTAAACACTTTCTGTGAATACCTTTTTCATAAAATTGTTGTATCTGAAATGTCTCCCCTAGAACGGGAAAGGACATACTTGAATTTCTAATAATTATGAAGATGAAAAAGCAGTAAAATATCTACTTAATTTTGCCTCCATGAAATTAATATTTTCTGAGCAATGACCTCAAAAATCAATACAGAAATGAAAAAGCAAGAAAATGTATAATTTTGTACAGAAAAAAATGCCTTAATAAAGTTTAGAAAAATGTTTAATATATTATAGCTTTATCTGAAGTATTTTTTTTAGTTTCTGTTGAATTATTATTTAAATTTTATCAATATCACAAGAGCAGACGTAAACATCTTTTAAGCTGTTTGCTAAGAAGTATTCTTAGTTGTAGAGAATATTTTTTCTAGATTTGATAGAAATTATTCTTTATCGATCTCAGTTGTTTTAAATTTGTTTCTGAACATGCGTATCTTAAACTTTTGATAAGTAGTAAACCAACAAGTGTGTATGTATTTTCATAAATTGAAAAATAATAAATTCCTATCAGATAGTTTATTTTATCATGTGATGGTGAGTTTCATTAAATGTATTTTAGAGAGAATTATTTTAATTACATTTAACATTTAAAAGTTCAAATTTATTCTCCTATATTCATTAATTTACACTTAAATTGTATATTTTATGCCTTTAAGATTCTTTTAAACATTCATACAAAGTTACTAGTCATCTAATAAAAGAAAATTATAAATCAAGGAATCAAATCGGTCTTTCAAATCACTTAAAAAATTGGTTTTTAAAAAAAGAATCTAGTTACCTTAAGCTCAAAAAATACCATTAGATAAATTCAAAATATTTTAATTAATAGTTCCATTGCTAGATTGAACACATTTGAGATAGATTTTAGTGTGATCACTTGTACAATACAGCCCATTCTGAATGTTTTAAGAACTTCCCAAATTAACCATTAATCTTCTTAAGATTTCATTGTCTCCCTACATTTCAGTGACAACCTTGATTAACATAAACGCAAACGCTTGATTAGCATGACTAACTCTTCCTCCCTGAAATTCTCTGTAACTTCTCCCGTTTCTTTAAATCCGGGAGAAGATTCTGCATTTTCGGGGAAAGAGCCAGGAGGAGTTTCAAGATGAACTTCTTCAGGGGACGTTTTATCTAGAAACAAATCAGAAGTGAGGATTTCATTGTTGTTCAAATCCTCTGAACTACCGTTATTTACTAGCGTAGAGTTCTCCTCAACCACAGTGTTTTCTTCGAGATCTGTATGTTCAAAAGAAGGTGCGTTAAACTTGTCTAAAAAATTGTCCACAATCATCAGCAGATCATCAGCTCTTTTTTCCAAATGTTCTTGGAAAGAATGCGACTTTTCTAAAAGAATTTGAGTCTTCTTATCCAAACAACACAATCGCGTTGCAGATAAATTTTCGGAATTTGATTTTTCCAGATGTAATATTTCCATTCGACTAGTTTCTTCTTTGTTCAGAAACCTCTCTGTGAATAATTCATCCTCCAACGAATTGATTTCGATTTCATTAGCTCCGTTTTCCTCTCGTAAACAATGGTTAATGCAATAATTATGACACTCACGTGAACGCTCTTTTTCCAGTTCAAGATGTAGATTTTTTATTTCTTCAGACATAATATCAATCTTTGAATAATCGGAGAACTGCTTTTCAGATTCATAGGTTTTGCTCAAATTACCCGTTTCAATCACCATAGAATCACGCGATTGTCCGATAATGTCTCTCTCTTCAGAAATTGCTGCAATCTTCTTCTCTTGCAGATCACATTTTTGAGATAAACGTATGAGCTGATCGCACAGCTTCAGAACACCATTCTGTATAGAGCTTTCAAACAATGATTCCTGCAAACCCTCTATCTTCAAATGTTGCAACTTATCTACCATTGATGCTTTCAAAGCCTGATCCATAGCTGCATGGCTTGTACTCAAATTGTATAGCTCTTCCTGCAAGGACATGTTTTTTTCAATTGCAGAATCTCTTTCAGAGGTGACTGTGGCTATCTTTTGCTCTTGCTCAACGCGGAACTGCTTCAATCTTTGAAGATTGGAAAACAACCTGAAAATTCCTTCCTGAATATTCTCAGCAAGCAGCATTGCCCTCAGATCAACCCCGGTGATCTTGTCGGTGGGCTTCTCGTCGATTGATGGACAGATTTCATGCAAAGGCTTAAGAGAACAGGTGATGCTCTCCTTTGAATTTATTTTGCTCAAAACTTCCAAGCACACATCAAACATCTTTCTGAAATTACATCTTCTTGAAATATCCTGAAATAATTTCTGTGTAATTGTTCTCATGCCCTGATGATGAATTAGATTCCTCTCCTCATAAAACGCCAGCTCTTCTTCTAGCTTGATCTATAAAGAAAGACAAATTTATTTCAGCTAGTGCATTTAGCAGAAATTTAAAAGCTCGCTCAAACTAGTCATTTATTATCATGATTACTATGCACCATTGTGCATTATCGTATCCTTATGTACGATGCATTATTGTACTTATTATCCTACTTAGTATGTATCCATATGTATTATCGTATTTATTACATACCCTTATGCACTATCGCATTTATGTATTAATCTTCCAAATAAAAAACTGTGCATGTTAGTGTTGGAACTCATATATCCTTCCTTCTTCTTATATCCTTATATGTATTAGCAACATAGGTTACTTTTAGGAATTTAAAGAATTTCGGTTAGGTATCGGCAATAATGTTTCCTAATCGATGAAAAACACAATCCCGGAAGTTTTTGGCTTAAGCTAGTTAAAAAATAACGTTGGGGACTTTAAAATAATCAGATACACTGATTGTTTTCGTATAATTCAAGATTTGTTTTAAAACAATTTCTGAATATTTTTAAAATGCTATTGTTTTAAAAAGAAAAAAATATATAACTATAAACTAAAAATATATTTTAAACTTTTAAAGATTTTCTAACCATGCTAAACCTTTAAAAATACATATAATGAAACTTGATTAACAACACCATTACACAATTGCTTACTATCAAAAAATTTGAATTATCCTACAGAAAAAAGTAGACAATGCTTTTTTGAATAAAAAAAGAGGACTTTGCTAATGTTTTTCTTTGTGCAAGGTTTTAAACTTATAAATAAATTTCCCTCTGTAGCAATTTGTTTTTACCTTCACTTCAATGTTTTCATCAAGTTTTCAAAACTTTAAAATATTTAATTCTTCTAATGAGGCTTTTTTATAAAGTAGTGTTAATTTGGGTAGTTTTAAGAGCCTTATATTTTAATGTTCTAATTGATCAAAATAACTTCAAATTTTAAAATAAAAATTTAATACGTATTTCGTCAATTAAAAAATATTTTTAACTTTAATTGATACTTACAGAAAATTAAAACAAAAATATGACTTAAATAAATTAAAGAGGATTGCTTTAATTTTCAAATTCTGTTTAAAAGCAATAAGCATAAGAAAATATTACATAAAATATTACTTTTATTTGCAAGTTTTTGATTATACTGTATAAAAAATATTGCAAAAAAATACAAACCATTTCTTCTGTATGTTTCTCGTCCTCTTCACTTTTAACATGCTTTGATTTAGTATTTCCCAATGGGAGCTGAAAACAGAAAAAAATAACATAAGTAAACTTCGAAACTGAATTAAAATAACTGCTGAAGATTTTCACCAGTTGCATGTGAATAAAATTCAAAATCAAACACTGCATTAAGTTCTACTTTACGTTTTTTTTACTGCATTTAGTTGTATTTTACGATTAAAACATGTATGTAGTATTTTATGATTAGTTTAAAATAAATTTTAAGATTCTAGTTTGAATTTTGAAACTTATGAGTTCCAATTTATTGCAGAGCTGTTGGCATAACATTAAAAAATTGTAAATTTTATTATTAAATATATCCTCTTATTTTTGTAAAAAATTATTTTATAAAATTCTAAAATTAACTTTATATTTCAAATTTTGGGACTTCCGCTTATAAAACATGAAATTAAAATTTTAATTGAGTATTTAAAAAAAATGTGTCATAAATAAACTTCAAAACTAGATTAGGACAACTGCTAAAGATCTTCATTTAAATCAGTTGCAAAATAAAATTCAATTTAAACACTGCTTTAAGTACTGATACAATAAAAGTTCAGATACAGTTCGGATACAATAAAACATTTAAGGTATTTATAGTTTCTTTCCAATGAATTTGATCTTCACATCTGCATAGAATAAAAAATATAGAATAAAGAATCTGACATAATTTACTCCCATTGAAATTCGTTTATTTAGAACTGTAAGATAGTAAATATCGACGCTGTTATGTCTGAACTAATTAAAGTAAGAAAAGAACTGTATGCTGTTCAATACAACAATGTACAGTGCTGAACTTATGAGAAAAATTCATTTCTCAACTTTTCAAAATTTATTTTTCTTATATTTTGGTTGAAAAAACTGGAGTTTAAATTTTAATATTATTGTTTTAGTCTTGGGGTAAAAGTAATAAGTTAATGAGTAAAAAAAAGATGTTTTTTAAGTAAACTATAAACAAATGTCTATAATAAGTTATTAAATTTGAGAATGGAATATAATTGAAATGAAAAACAAAATAAAGACACTGATCTTAATAAAAATTCAAAACAAACTTACAGCATCCATTGAACCAATGAATGTATATTCAGCTTCTTTTTTCTGTAATGGTGCCATATTCTGTGCGGCCATAGCTTTAAGAAAGAAAAATCTGAAAATAAAATAATTTTTGGTATGTTTCAATAAGAATATTTTTTTTATATTTTTGCTGTACGTTAAATTTTAAGAAAGCTAAACATTTACGAAAAAATAAGGCGTTTAAAATGTTATAAATTATAGAAATAATGTTTTTTTTAACTTTTTGTAGTATTTATGATGAAAGTGTACAATATTTTCGGATAAAAAAGCTTCAAAAAAAGTAAAGCTTCAGTAAATGTTAAGATTTATATCAAGGAGCATGCAACCTCGCTCTTTTTCTTCTTTATTTAATCAACATCCACTAGAACGTGGTATTAAGAAATATAGATCTCGTGAGAAAAAAAATTAACTTTATGCAACTATGGATAAAGAATCAACATTTCAAGCAAAAAAGCTGAACAAATCTTGAAATAAACAACAAAAAAAACCACTTAAGTTTGCAATAACATTCGAACAGTTATAAGTTATGAAAATAGAAAAAAAGAAACTCTTGTTAAAATTATAATGCGAAATGTTCTCATTAACTTTAAATTTCAACTCTGTAGTTACATTCCATAGACAAACCTAAATTTTATTTTTACTACAAGTTTAATAGCTATTAATTTTTGAAGTAACAATCAAATCTAAAAAATAATATCATGTTTAGTCTATTTCAACAAGTGCATTTAAATAAGGCAAATGCAACTTTAACATGTCTCATATACGATAAATTTTGAGAAAGCTAAGCATGAAGGGGAAAAAATCGCTTAAAGCGTTGCAAATAGTAAAAATAATGTTCATTATTCACTTATAGCAAATGTACAACATTTTAAGAAAGGGAAACTTCGGGAAAAGGTCTTGGACCAAATGTTCATTTTCTAATTAATAATCACACTATCCTATAGTTAAGAAAAATATCAATTGGTTTTAATAAATCGAAGCCATATTATAAGAATTTCTTACTTTTTTGAAAAAGGAAGCTGGAAGCTTAGCTCGCCAGTCCCCGAAACCGGTCTCTCAACCGGTTTAGAAAAAGTCAGGGAATATTTATGTTTTAAAATATACAATTATTCTAGTTTTACGTAAAAATATTTTTTGAAATGTTAATCAGAAAATATTGGACGGTCACGTGGATTTTAAAAATAATCATCTTAACATGAAAAAAAGAAAAAAGTTTAACTTGAAAAACACAGAATGTGTGATTCATTGCGAAGAAATAAATTAGAAGTAATAATTATCGTTTAACGAAACTCATAGCAATTAAAATAAAGAACAGTTATCATTAATCATTATTATTTTTCAAAAATTTTGCTATAAATGTAAAGTTTTATACACATCAACAAGCAATCTTTCACTCTTTTTTTTTTCTATATTTAAGTAACATCCACTCGAAAGAGATTTAAAAAAAGAAAGATGTCGTGGAGGAAAAAGAATTTTTATACAACAATGTATAAATAATCAATATTTAAAGCAAAAAAGTTGAGCAAATCTTGAAAAAAAAACCCCACTTAATATTACAATAACTCTCGAACGGTAAGAAATCTTAAAAAATAGAAAAAAACGAAATCTTGTTTTTTAGATTCTGAGCCGCGAAGCAACATATAAAATTATCAAAAGAAAGAATTTATATAGTCACAATGGATATCAACAGAAACTTCTGGTACGTTAAGTGATAAAAAACGAGAAAATAGAGAAGTTCTTGTTAAAACTGATGAAAAAATACGTTTTGAAAATAGCAAAATTTAAACTATGGTGCGAGTTTGAACAACAAGTGCAATAGAAAATATTTACCTCAAAATGTAATGTGTAAATATTATAAAATATTTTCCTAAAAGTCATTTTACATAAAGAACCAGAGAAAGGTGAATTAGATATATCCAAGTAAATGTTATAAAATTATGATGTTGTAAGTAATTGAGACACATAAAGATCGTTTTGAAAAGTAAAGAGCATAATTTTTGGAAAGATGTGATCAGGATATAAAGCTTACAAATATAAGTTATACATGGAAGAGAAAATTAATATGCTCATTTGCATTATAAAGTTCTTAAATCTGAATTATTATTGTTTAATTAGTATTTTTAGTAAGTTCACTGTAGTTACTACTATTGTAAGTCAGTTATTTATTGTTGTGCATGTAAAAGTATTAAAAAGCTCTAATTTTATAAATTTTTTCTAATTAATTTTTTCTAAACTAGAGAATAATAGCACATAACTTTATGGATGACAACTTATATATACTGACTACTGACACTCACTGATAACTACTGATATTCTCTAATAAACATATAAATGCTGAATGTCAGGAATATTTAATGAAACGTAAATTGAAATTAGTCAACGAATTAGTGAAACTCACAAATATCTAGAAATCCCTTACAGTTAGCATACGAATGGAAATTGCAATGAAAATTAGATTATTCAAAAGATATGAAATAGAATTAAGTTATATTCATTAATTATGTACTTAACATTAAGAATAAATTTTTACACTTCATGAAAAACTGAAATTTTCTTCTAGAAATCTCTAATAGCTAGCATGCATTAAAAGGAATTCGAGACAATTGATTATTCAATATATATCAAATGTAATTAATTACGTACTAAACATCTAATTAAATTATTACATTTAAAAACATCTAATTAAATTATTACATTTAAAGAAAAACTGAAATTTTTTTTTTAGAAATCCCTTATAACTAGCAAACATCAAATGAAGTTGATGTATACTTTATGGCTAAACTATATGAATTAATTATTACTAAGCACCGAGAAAAATTTTATACACTCAATAAAAAACTTTTCCAGGAATCTGCATTCAGGCTGAAATATCTATGAAATATTTTATAATATAATAAATATCAATTTTAATTAATTTAATATCATTAAATTTTAATTCACATAACAAATCATTTGCCATTAACTTATAATATTTAGCTAATTTTTAGTCTATATTATTAATTGTTAGTATATAGTCAGCATTTAATTACTGTTTACACTTACACCGAAGAGCCATTACATTATGTCCACCCTGCTAATAACATGTAGGACCACTTTTAGCCCTCAAAACTGCTAACACCAGCCTTGGCATTGATTCCACAAAGTACTGATTGAGGTATCTGGTACCAAGCGCTCACCAACTGGTCCTCCAATTCCCTCCCATTGCGAGGGGGGTAGCGTGGCAGCACGAACTTGGTTTTCCAAGTAGGACCTTAAATGCTCTATTGGATTAAGGTCAGGGGAATTTGGGGGCCAAGACATGACTTGAAAGTCACTGGAATGTTCCTCGAACCAATCCATGACGATTCGACCCTTATTACATGGTGCATTATCCTGTTGGTAAACACCATCCCCCTCAGGAAAAACTGTTGCCGTGAATGGGTGAACCTGGTCTGCTACTATGTTCAAGTAACTTACAGACGTCAGGGATTGTTCTATGAGAATTATGGGTCCTAATGTGTCCCATGAAAATATTGTTCCGAGGCGAGATACCACAAAGACCTGGGCGAGCCCATTGTTATAGATGGAGGGTGGTTATAATGTAATGGCTTTTCGGTGTATGGTTCAAGATCACTCTTTTTTCGCAATGTAGGTAATAGGGTATTACAATTGAATATTATGAGTAAAAAATTTTTTTTGCAAAATATTTCTCTCTTCATCTGATAATCAACTCATAAATTATTTAAATTTTCTTTTATACTCATTAGAGGTAATTGAAATCATGAAATATATTACATACAAAAAAAGAGCGAGGAAATAGTTTGAATAATTCCGAAATATTTAATAATAATATCGGATTCAAATTTAAAATATAAAAATTTAGTTAAAAAATACATTATTTAAGCAATGAATAAAAATGAAACTGTAATAACTAAAATGAAGGTAAAAAAAATTAAAATTTATTTACTAAGAAATATAAAAAGATTTCTCTGCAAAAAAGTAATAGATAAATAAAAAAATAAAAGAGTAATAGATAAAAAAAAAATAAAAGAGTAATAGATAAATAAAAAAAATAAAAAAGTACTAATTTTAAGTTTGTGAAATCAGCGATCGTTTCTACATTCCTTTAAAAACTAAATGTCTGCTGCATATTTCACACTAAAAATTATATAAATACATATAAAATTCCCCTCTGCAATTAAAAAACAGAATTAAAAAGCTTTTCTATTCGTGTAAAGAATTTCAACCGGGTTCTCAACACTTCTGAACGAATATCGCTGCCTTAATCCCTTTAAGCCCCACAACTCAGCTAAACACTATAACATATAATCAGTGAGCATAATCAGTGACCGATTAAATTAAATTTCAAAATCACTTTGAAATAAATATTTAAATAATATAAGCTCTAAGAAATTACAAAAAAAAATAAAATAAATAAACAGTCTTACCTTATGTTTCACAAGTCTTTTTATAGCAAACTTTCAAATTCCACAACGCAATTTAGCAGTTTGAATATTTCTTCTCTGTGGAATACCCAGTTTATCAACTTCACTACACATCTACTATAACTTTGTTTCGGACAATTGTTTGAACCTGTGGTACCGTTAACTGCACCAGTCTGAATAACAGCTGATAAGATGGTCAGCTAAAGGTGGGTGGTCAAGTAGGAGTAGAAATAATGAGTATAGTGAATGGTAAGATCTCTTATTCTTGACGAGTGCTGTAGTGATTTGAACAATGCATGTTCGTGTTCAATAGCAAACAGATGTTGAACCATGAGAATAACTGGTGTGATAGTAAAAATAAATCATAATAAAACTGCTTCAACTACAAATGAATAGTTAAATACAGGCTTGTCAATTTTGAATAGGATGAAAACACAACTGATAAGGTAACGACCAGACACCCTACTTTGAAGAATTTCGAATGATGGTTATTGTTAAAGTGGAAAATTTCTGTTCATGAAATTTATATGGATAAATGGTAAATGGGAAGAAATTTCTTCAGAATTTTATTTCTGTGTTAAAAAAAAAAATAGGTAATTATTTTTAAGCTCTAATTAGTGCATAATGAATTTAATGCATACACGTGGTGGAAAATACATATTTCCTTTTTTCAAATTTTAATTAGTTTTTATTTCTTTGATTTTTTTTTATTTATTTATGATGGTATGAGGAATGAGGGAAATCTCGGCTTTAAGCGGTTACATGTAAATCTCGGCTACCGATTCATCGAAATTTTGCAGACGTGAGATTGGTTAGGCATAAGTTGGTTAAAACAATTTAAATGTAAAGAAAAATAGGAAAAAACTCCTTTGTCAAGTTGGAACATACTAATGAAATATGCATAGAATGACAAACACTAAAATTAACTGTAACTAGAATAGGTATAAATGAAGAAAATAGTATATTTACAGTTATTTACATTACATGTACAAAGTTGGTGTTCCTCTGTTAGTATAGTGACCCGGCCGTCAAGGTAGTCACCGCTCGTGCCGGGTTGCTCACTATTCTGAATTTTGATCAGCAGTGTGAAGGAACTCTGCATAAAGGGTTGCTCCTTCACCAGGTTTGTCACATGCCGGTGTATAAGCTGTGTGAGTGAATTGGGGTTGTATTTATTGAGACTGATTGTAATATTTCGAGATAAAGGGGGGACCCCACCCTGAATATTTCAGAAATTCGAAAAAAAATTTACTGCATTTTTCGAATCTTTGTACCCTTCCTAATGTCTGTCTTTAACGATTTCTCGGTACCTAACTTCGTTTGGATGAATAGAGTGTCGTTGCTAAGCAGGTAGAAAGGACGGCTCGGCCGGATTAGGAGAGGCGACATTCTTTTTTTGTGCCTCATCCATTCTGTTGACTGTATATACAAACTTATTGTAGGCATTTCATTTATCAACCATTATATATGTGAAATTAAACGTTTTCCCCTACCATAAGTCAAAACTTTAAACACGTTTTTCTCAAAACGCTGTTTTTTGACCTGGCCTAACGTTTTTCTCATGATCTATACAACGAAATAAGATGTTCCTTATTTTGAATTACGTAAAAATATATTCTTTAGAAAGTAGCTTAGGATAATTTTGATACTTTTATATTTCGATTTTATATTTGTATTTTAATGAATATTTTTTTAATGAAAAACTTAACTTTTTTTTTAAGTTGCCGCCATTTTGGTAATTTTCCGAGTATCAAAAAACCGCTATGCTACTTTTTAGATAATGTCTTTATGTTTCAGAAAATCGAAGCAAAATCGTTTTCCTATGCTTCAGGACTTCTAAATCCATGAGGCCAGTGGGGTGCTACTTTTTGATGACCAGCCACACACGTAGCTGCCACCAACTTATTTGTTATTATTTTGTAAAAGAAAATTTTTTAAAATAGACTTAAATTGTAGCTAAATAACATAAAAAAACAAGGAGTCTCTGCATTGTCTCTATTACTTTTAAAAAATTCAAGAAAAACGTTAATATTTTACCATCTTAGGGCGGGGTCCTCCCTTAAGCAGTCTGAGGTTAGAAAGACAGTGAGTGGACTACTGCTAGCATTATCACTGACAGTGAGTGAATATCAGTGATAATGCTAGCATTATCACTGATAATATCTATGTCGAAGATTTTATAAAAATTGGATGTGTTACATTCTTTTGCATCTTGTTACCATGAAAAGTTGTTCATGAAATTTTATATGGATGAATGGTAAAGGAGAAAAAATCTCTTCAGAATTTTATTTCTGTGTAAAAAAAAAATTAGGAAATTATTTTTAAACTCTAATTAGTGCATAATGAATTTAGTACATGCGCGTAGCAAAAAATACATATATTTTTTTTTCAAAATTTTAATTAAATTTTATTTTCGTTGAAAAAGAATATTAAATACACGAGCAAGTAAAAAAATTTGTTTTCTTTTATTCATTTATTTTATTGTTTAATTTATTTATTTGTACTTTTTTTTCTCCTTTTTTTTTTGCTTGCAAAAATTATTAATCAATCATTTTGTGCCTATTGTAAGAATGTCAATTCTTTTTTTATCTTTCTTTTTAATCTTTATTTAGTGTAATATATCGATAGTTGGCTAAAGAAGAAAAAGAGAAAAATGTCAGGGGAAAAAATAATTGCTGAAAAACATAATCTTGGTCAAAGAAGTACAGCTGCAGCTAGAATTATGTAGGAAGGTAAAGAATAGTAAAATTGAGAAAAAAAAGTTCTTTTTAGTTGTAGCACTCGATCCAATTATTATTACTTCTGTTGTTTTCTATATTAAAATGTTATCTATTGAACTTTGATGAATGTAAAAATAGAATAAAAATAAACTAGAACTGTAATTTATCTAAAAAATATTTCTAAATCGGTCAGTTTCAATACGGATTTCAGGTGCGAATGTCTGTGAGCTTCATTCTAGTTTTAATTTAAATTAATTTACTAACAGGGCCTATTTCTGTAAAATAAGTAAACAGAACTGTATGATGATGTGAAAAACAACAGAATTCACAAAGTATGATCTGCTTAATTTTTAGGAATTTTGGCACAGTTGTAACAATAAATGTAGAATTTCGAGCTTCACAATCGCACGGAGGACAAATGTCAGAGATTGCGGAATTATAGCAATAACGATACTTATTGAGCCTACATTGCAGTAAGTAATATTTTCAATAAAATACCCAGAGTGCCTTCCTTCTTTGCAGCTATATTCTCGTCAGTTTGCTTCTACTTTTTACTGTTACTACAATGACTTTCTCAGCTAGATAGGGTTATTCAGATAATCCCTCTTGTCTTAAAAAGCAAAATTATTTTTAAAACTTTGCCAAAAAAAAAATTTCTTTTTTTAAATAAGAATTATTTCGTATATAATTAGCTTTGTAATTTTATTTCTTTTAAATAGTTGTCGTTGAACAGCCAACCCAATTTCCTGGTTTTACGGCTACCAATGCTCAACTCCGTATCCTTGTAATTTTGAACCCAATGCAAAAGACAAGGAAACTCCTGGATAGAGTATTAGGAGAGCACCTTTTGATGAAACTAACTCGCCTTTGCGTTACATGAAGAGAAAAACCACGAGAACCTTTCACTGTTAGCCTGACGGGAAGGGGACTTTAACCCATGTACCGTCTACCACTGAGGATATTTTAAATCAGCACTGTGGTCGGTGCAAGCTGGATGCGGAATTTGTATTGACCAGTCATTGCTGGCTTTCAAACCTGTATGACCTCATTGGAAGGCGAACGCTCCTTCCCTTGAGCTATGACGGCTCAATTTGTAATTGTGAAGAAATATATATTTAGGAAATAACTGAGGGTTATAGAAGTTCTTTTTAGACTATATCGCGATATAAGCCAACCTCTTTCAATGTATTTATCAGTCATGTCTACAGTGGGAGAAATGATTAAAAATTTGTCAAGATAACTATATTGGGTAGATTGCTAATTGATTTTCATTAGTAAAAAAAATATTCACAATTTAGTCACTTCAAAACTAATAAGTAATTTAAACAAATTAAGGCTTACTGCTCATTTTCAAATGTAAATCGTGGCAGAAAATTATACTTTAATTGCAAAATAAATAAAAAAATAATGATGAAATAAAAATCAATAATATTTTTGACGTAATAAATAAAATCTAAAATTGATGATCCATATTCGTGATCTTACACAATAAATCTTGTATACCAAGGGACAGAAAGATTACAATTTTATATATATGTACTTAAATTATGTCGTAATCTTTAAAATTTAATAATTCAAAAACATAATAAAATTTCAAAAACATAATTAAAATTAATTTTATCACATTAAATATAAGCCAATTTAAACCATAAAGGCATGTAGAAGCAAAAATTCAGAATTTTACTGCAATTTTATTATTTTATATTTATCGAAAATTCCGAGAAACTAGAAGGAATGGGGAAAAAAGACTAATGTATATAATGCAGTACCAAAACTTCGAAATTTAAACTAAGTGATACGGGTTCAGACGTAAAGTAAAGTTTCCTAAGAAAATAATAACCCTGATAGAAGTTTCCAATGCAGATGAACACTTCCTAAAATAATAATGATAATTATTAAATAAAAAAGGAATAAATANAATCCCGGGCAAGGCATGAATGTTTTTTCCTTCTCTGTACTATCTGTCCTTACTGTGGGATAAAAATTTCAAACCAAATTGTCCTTTCTTTCCTTCAAATTTACGAAAATTTGTTTTTAAAGTAATTTCTTTTATATTAGTTTGCGAAGGGACGTTATCGTTATTCGATACATCGATATCGTTCGGTATCGACGTTGCGTTATGCGAACGTTATTTATAACGGTTAACTTCGTTCGAAATATGCCCACAAGATTTTTTTCTACCGTCCAAGAAGCCTGTAGAAGTATTTCTCCTTTGCATCACCCATCTCAAGGAGAAAGTAACATTACCTGCTATTTGTACATTTCGCAATCTGGTAGGTGGAGAGAAAAAATATCCAACTTACGAAATATTGCTATTCATTATGAACATCTGATACACAAATATGTCACAAAAATTACATTTAAGTGCTTAAACTAAATTACTTACAGTCCCTGGCAAAATTATTAGACGTTCTATAAGAATCTAAATAAAATCTTAATTATCAGGTGATACTACACAGCTTTATTGTTTTAACGTGACTGAAACCGGTTTGCACTTGTTTACGTTCGTGTATCAATGGGTTAAATTAGACGATATATGATATAAATTTAACGATTGGATAAATTAGGCGGTGTATTATATAAATATATATATTTATCTTAACAAACATTATATTTGTATATTATAATAATTAAATCAAATTATTAGACGCATTATAGTATTTTAATAATGACATGATTTGCACGAGTTTATAGGCAATACTTTTATATTTAAACATACATGTAATGGGTTTTTATTCAGGAGATTTTTTATATACTTCCCATTTGTATTTATTTTTAACGTATTGC